AAGAAAGAAAGAAAGAAAGAAAGAAAGAAAGAAAGAAAGAAAGAAAGAAAGAAAGAAAGAAAGAAAGCTTGAGACCCTTCTAATCTGCATGGCTCCAAGGCAGGGGGAATAGGAAACAGAGAATGCTTCCGGACCTTGCTGCTTTTCTATCCAGCCTTTAACCTATTTTGGTTAAGCAGAACTAGTTAACAAAAGGCATGCGCTCTGTGATATAAGCAAAGATGGAGTCCTTTCCCTTGTATTTTTAAAGCCCAGAACAACTAGGAGGATTAACTCAAGAGATGGATGACCAAATACCTTCCATATTCTCCAGCTCTGGCAACATTTTAGTAATAACTTTTCACGCAGAGATACAGTGAATCTTTATCCTGTCACAGTCTGTGTTGTTATGGGTCATAATCCCCATGAGCCTACAAACTTGGAGGGTTTTGGAGTTAAAGTGATCTTCAGAGTCTTTCGTCTCAGCATTGCTAAGCATGTTTTTCTTTTGCTTTTATTTTATATGAAAAATCGAAGTTTTATTCATAACTCGGTTCTGACTTCAAACACATTCAGGAAAGCTTCATGTGTCACCCTCCCTTCAGTAATTTGTATCACCTTACTCTTAGCAAGCCCGCAGGCGAGAAATCCCTCTCACTTTATTTAACCCAGCAATTCCCAATCCTATTTAATTAGAGAATCCTTTGCACACAGACCATCTGGCAGAATTATTAAATAACACACTGGAAATAGTGATTTATAAATCTTCATTGGCTTCTTCAAGATAACAGTTAAGATCTCCAAGTTTCCCAGGCCTTGTATTGTTATAGGTTCCATGGAAACAAAGGAAAGGCCAGCCAAATGAAAACAGGTAACATCTATTTATCCTAGGCTGGTGATGGCTAGGAACACAGCAGCTATCATGTGTGTTTTGGCATAGCCACAGAAGTAGGAAGGAAAGTGTGGAATCTTCATGGTGAGAAAGAAGAAAGGTGCAAGGATGATTGGCAGCTGTTGATGGCAGTGGGAGGCCAGGCACTTCAGGGAAGCTAACTGGAACTCATGCCATTGGCTAGGGGGACATATTGGATACTCAAGTCATTAATATGATGCTGGGTGTTTGAATGAAATTGTTATAGGAATAAGCATTGGTCTTCTGGTGCAGTATGCTAGAGAGGGTCTGGCTTTCTGCACAGACTTGTGGGTTTTAAGTTTGCTTTCTGGATGGGTTAGTAGAGACAATGGGCTGAGATAGTTTTCTGAGTGCTTGTTATAGATTTGGGAAGAGTTCTGCCACTGTATTTTTTCTGTCCTCTGTCCGTTTGTGCACTCTTTCCTTTTCCCTCCTCTCCCTTCCTCTGCCCTTCTCTTCTGTTCGTTTTTTTCCTCTCTTCCCCTTCTCTCAGTCCCCTTTTCTTTCCTGATTATTCCCAAATATACTTATGTATATGTATAGGTATGTATGTATATACATATTATTATGTATGTATATACATATTATTATGTATGTATATACATATATATAATATGTATGTATATACATATTATTCCCAAATATACTTATGCATATGTATATGTATGTATGTATAGGTATGTATCATTCCTCAGGCATGAGTTAAAATATATAAAACAAAAACAATACCCTTCTCAAGAAAACATAGCCAGAGATTTTATTTGGGGAAAAAATATATTCGGTATAAATGCGTTCCAAAAATGATAATAATATAAACCTGACTTCATGTCAAAGACACATTGAGAAAGAAACACATGACTCAGCTAGAAAAATGCATACTTTATTCTTCCTTTTTAACTAGGGGAAGAGCTATGTAAGTATGCACAGGCAGGCACTTCCCAAGCGTTAACAGTTACATAACTGCTTCCCTGACTGCAGTGAAACCTAAACACTGGAATTGTGTTTAGCTGTTAAGTAACCAAGTCTAGTTAGCTCATTCTGAGTAGAGGAGGGATGCCATTATCCCTATCCCCAAACGCCCATGTTTGTTACTTATTCTTCAGTTCTCTGTTTTATTCTGAAATAGTCTCTAAAGTCAAGGTGACAGTGTCACACAGGTATGCAGGCCCAAGCTGTTTTATTCTCCCCCAAATTGTTTTACACTCATAATTTTCTTCTGCTCTGGCCACCTACCTGCATAGCAAATGGGATAAATACCCTCAGCCCCACTTTTCAGGCATGAAAACAGAAACACTTGCATTGCTTGCCAAAAGTCAAATGTACAGCTACTTGGTATCACAGAACTGGAAAGGGAACCAGAATTTATTTCAGCCAGGCCTCTAATTTTGCAGATTAAACACTGTGAACGAAGATGACCCATTGCCAGTTAGCCAGACAGAAGCTGCTTGGGTTGTAGGAAGAAAAAATGACAGGCGTCGATGTAATTGTCATTCTGAAACATCCAGCTGTAGCAACACTGCTAGTCTCAGAGCCCAGGTCGCACGGATTCTTGTGTATTTCCCATTCCTACTAGGACACAGCTCAGTTAATGGGCTCCATTCCCCCACTGTTGGGAATTCTTATCTGTTAGACTTGGCATGTATTATAAATAGGCATTTTCATATAGCCACAGAGTACATGTGCTGATGTGGACACTGTGTGAAATGTCTCTGCCCTGCACACGTGCTTTCTGTGCTAATGAATTGTATCTTTAAGGTGATGAAGTCTTACATTTGTTAACTTTGAATTTCATTTGTGTTCCTTTGAAGTCAACATCAAGGTTAAAAGCCAAAGTTTGTAGTCGTGTGACTGTCATCAAAAAGCTTCCTACCTTGAAAGATGAACATTTGAATAAAAAAAAAGCCCAAAACCTTCTCTTCATTACATGAAACTTCTTGATTACCTGAGATAAAATTTAAGCAATCACTTCACTAAGCAACTTTTCCTGACCTTTCTTCTCTTTCCTTACCAATAATTATTCCCATATGATTCACACAGAAATGGAAATTTGGTAATTACTCACCTAATCTGATTAGAGTTGACAAGCATCTAATTAATCCTGCCCACTCTTCATTTGGTTTAGGTATTAAGGTAGTTGATTTAGTTTGAAGAAGCATAAGCCAAAAGGGCTATAGAACTGACTGCATATGTCTGCTTCACTGCCATATTTGTGTACACACAGTCATGTATAGGGTATACACACTTGCTGTATGCATTTTTATAGGTATGTATTATATATGCACACACATAAGTACATATATAACAAATGTCAGGCACCGAATGAAGCTAAAATTGTGCTTTATAAATGTAGGAAGGCATTATTTTATTTTCTGTGGCCTAATTATTTTGTCTTTGTACTTTTTTATACTTAGTAATGGCTAGAATTCAGATTGGAGAACTTTCTCCCAGCCCTTAAGGAAGAGCACACCATTGGTAGCATTTTCAAAGACTCTAAGGAGGCATATGTTGAGAGGGCCTTGGGCAACAGGCTTAGCGTCTCAGAACCTGGACTTTCTCATAGGTTAAGGTGCACCTTAAAGGTGCACACAGCCCATTGACTGACACATAGATGGCATTGATATTTGGCTTTCACTACCCTTTAATGACTTAGGTACCCTGACAACATGGTCCCTTCTGGTAAAGGAGACATAAGCATTATCAGCCCCAGGATAATTAAAGTGTAAATACCAAATATAAATCAGTTAAATGAGACAGAAAAATCGATGTCACAGATACGTGAACTGGGTCAATTACTGCATATATATATATATATATATATATATATATATATATATATATATATAGAGAGAGAGAGAGAGAGAGAGAGAGAGAGAGAGAGAGAGAGAGAGAGGAAGGGAGACTAAGAATATGGCATTACCTTAGTTTAGAATATAGATTTATTGTTTAGATATTACAATAGAAGGAGTAAGGAGCCTGTATCTAAGTTCAGACACATCTGCGACCCCACCCTGGCGTCACCTAGTGTCCTCGGTACTATATAAACTCCCTCTCCGCGTTCTCAGTGTCTTCACTTGGCAGGTGCAGATGATAACAACTATAGCACAAGGATCAAATGGCTTAACATATGCAAAGAGCTTAGCAAAATGCCCAGCAGAGAGCAAGAGTTCAATAGAGGATGGTGATAGGACAATGCTTCTAGAAAGTCTCTTCATCAAAGAGCACTTCATCATTCTCTCACCATTACATCCTTGGCTTAATTGAGCCGGGTCAGGCTTTTCAGCTTGGGACCTGCGAATCAGCCTCACATGCTGACCTCTGTGTCCTCTGTCCCCAGGCATGGTGAACTTCAGTGAGGTGTCTGGGTACCCGGTGCTGCAGCACTGGAAGGTCCGCTCTGTGATGTACCACATCAAACTCAACCAAGCGGCTGTCTCTCAGGGTGAGCACTGTAGCAAGCCTTCCCTCCGTCTTCCCCCAAGGCCTGGGAAGTTCTTTCCAAAGGGATCATGCAGTTCAGAAGCAGCCTAACACACAGCCACTCCATGAGACACACAACCAATGCGCTCTTGAGGGCGAATGGATAGAATACGATTCTTCTGTAAGCACAGACTAGATTGCAAGGTGTATCTTATACTATAGAATTGACAAGGCTGGAACTAATGGAAATATGGGTTTCCTGGGGTTATCCAGGGTAAGGAGAGTAGAGTAATTTTTAAAAGGGTGATTTTTAAAAAATTGTCAGAATAAACATTTGAAGCAACAAAATCATTATTAAAATATTTCATTTGATGACTCAAAGAAAAGGGAGTAGGAAGGATGGGGGACACGTAAAAATAAGGAAACAAGGCATTTCCTAAACAGCAAATATAATTGAGAGATTATTATAGAGAGCAACAGAGAAATGTGTCTAACTCTATGGAGTGTAATGACATGTAAAAATGCATCTATACTTTATCTAGTAAGGAGTGGTGACTCTAAGCTTATTTAGGGTCATAGAGTCTGCAGAAGAAAAGCAATATAAGGAAGAGAATTGGCCATAAAGAATTATGGTGAAAGCTGGGCAGTAGTGGAACATGCATTTAACCCCAGCATTTGGGAGGCAGATCTCTGAGTTTGAGGCCAGCCTGGTCTACAGAGTGAGTTCCAGGATAGCCAGCGCTACACAGAGAAACCCTGTCTTGAAAAACAAACAAACAAAAATTATGATGGAAAGATGAGACATATCCTCAAAAAGTACTGCTTCCTGAACTGGAAGAGACTGGAGATCTTGAACATTGTTTTTGGATACAACATTACTACAAACTTTGTAGAACATTTCCACAGGTTACAATAAATCGCAGAACTTCTACTTTTTTTATTTGACACATTTCTTGGGAAGAAGGGAGAGGAATGAGAACTATACTGAAGAAAACTTCAAAAGCAGAATGTTCATTAACCTAGATGCTTCCAGATCCTGTCAGGTTGACAATCAGTATTAGCCATCATGGTCTCTACCCACAGAATATTTTTTTAATATTATAACCCTGTGCTTCACACACACACACATTCATACAACACATATATCATAAAGCAATACTTCATCTTATGATGTGAAATGTTCCCTGCTAGTATTTATGTTTCTATTTTAGATTATGCTAGTTTCTTTCTATTTTTAAAATGCTATTAATTGAACTGACTAAATTGATTTAATGTCATGAACTGCACTTTTAGGGGGCACAAAACCATTTACTTGATGGTTGCAGGAGTCAAAATTTGCACTCCTCTGCCTAACTTACATAAAATTATCAACACAACCAACATACTTAAAAAGACACCTATTTAGGAACAGGAATATTTATTCCAGTTAAACAGAACTACATATTATTCCTACCTAGATCTCAAATATCACTTTAGGCCACACAGTCATATTTGGGACCAACATGCTTAGGAATCTACATAATCCTAACTGATGAGTTCCCATCCTCATTTACTCTTGGGTGATGTTCTCCCATAGCCTTCAGCAATGCTCTCCATTCCTTGGATGGGGCTACATCTCGCGCAGATTTTGTGGCCTTGTTGGATCAGTTTGGGAACCATTACATCCAGGAAGCTGTCTACGGCTTTGAGGAATCCTGTTCTATATGGTACCCAAACAAACAAGTCCAGCGGCGACTTTGGCTGGAATATGAAGACATCAGTAAAGGTGAGTGGCCTTGCTCAGTGGCAAATTCTATACCTGTGCAAGTACCGTCAGGCATGTATGGCCAAGCATAAAGGCCCCATAGGAAAAGAGCATTCAGATTGCCCCCAATTCTGTGTGCTTATCTGCAATATTTCTAAAGTCTGTTAGTTAAAATCAAATCTCAAAGATTAGGGTATTAGATGATGCAGGACGGAATCTTAACTGTATGTTCACTGTGTTAATTACTATGGCAAGTCCACTAAAGGTTGACAGCGACCATCCATTCTGCTGCTATAGAATAGGAGGGAAGAAGGAGAATGTCCCATCCGTTTATCCACAGCGACCCTAACATACTGCCTCTTAACCCCTCACAGGAATGACATACTGAGCCCCTTCTCATTCCATCTTGCACCATATTTAGGTTTATGTTCCATTTTTCCTATTGAGTTGTGTTATGTCTTAAGTGGTGAAAGCCAGGCTTAACAATAAATCCGTTGTCCCCACTGTCTGAACAGCAAGTGATTGAGCAGTCTTAGCATAATATCCTAAAAACTTTCGAATCTTCTGAAGTCACTTCGTTGTATGGTGGTAGTGCTGCCCTGGGTGTTTATAATCATATCAAGACATTCTTGGACTTCCTCCTGAGCTGATCTGTATGGGATTCTGACAAGAACTAGTTATGAATGTGTGAGCTGCTAATGGGAAAGTCTTGAACTGACAGATTTAGTTCAAGAAATGAAACACCTTAACAGTCATGGATCAAAACTTCCCTCAAGACTAGGGATGCTCTTCTATCAATAGTACCTCCAAAAGGCCAATTATGGCCTCGGCTTGAGTGTTCTTTCTGTGAGCTCCATACAAACTCTTGTTTGCTTTGCTTGACAGGATGCGGGGATGTGATATGGTTTCTGTTCTGTCTGGCATCTTTCTCTCAGAAGCAAAAGATTCATCTTTGAGCTACCATGGCCACAGGAATAGTCCCCTAAGCCAGAGTCCCCCAAAGATACAACTTCAGGCATCTCAAAACTTGGAATCTGAACAATGTTCTGAATCAAATTCACCAAGAGAATAGTGTAGCATAAGTGAGTGTTGATAAGATCAGTTCCAGCTGGCAAAGCTCTCTGAAGTCTCTGTTCCAGAGCCCAGGGATTGAATCACCAGGCTGAACCCTCTGCTCTTCCTGCTTGCCAGGGCCTCAGTGACTGCCAAGGCCTAGGATTTCTGGGAGATGAACATCTGACCTTTCCCCAAGCTCCTGACTCTACATTGCTTCTCTCCAGGCACTGTATTGTCCTGAAAGAGATATACTGAGCCCAGTAGGAAAATATGTCATAGCCTTGGCATTGTGCCTTGCTACTCTTGATGGGAAACCTCTCTTGGCGCTCAGAATCCAGCTTGTCCACAGTCTAGCTGTTGCCTTGACTTCTCAGAACATGGTTTATGTGACTTCTTGCTTACTATTTACCTTTAAAAGGTATGCAGCCATTTTAGTTTGCTTTAGTTATGCCTGCCCGATAAGAGGTCATTGGCGACCACTGTCCATGTTCACTCTGATATCTCCTCCCCTTCTCGAAACTTCTCTATAAACTACATGATTCATCTGGGTTGTTGTTTGTCCTGGTTCTTAATTTTTAATTTGGGCACTGATCTCCCTTTACTCTAAAACATGATCATTTGTTGCTATTCCTGCTGTTGTTGTGGTGGTTTCCTGAAGTTGTTGCCAATGGTGATAGTCGTGGTACTAACCTGTGTAAAACCCTCCTGATAGGGCCTTTTCTGTCGGCATCATTACAGGCAAGCAGCATTAGTTACATAGGACTGATTAAAACCCAGTCTGTAGGCCAGGTCTTTAAGGAGCAGCTTTCCATTCAATAGTCTGGCATTTTGGATTAACTACCTTTACATGAATCTTTTGGAAACCCTGTCAGGGGAAAATATACTTCCTTTCATACATCTAAGTTTAGATTTGATCGCATTCTCTCTTTCCCTCTTTACAGAAAAAAAAAAGAAAGAAAAAGAAAAAAAAAGAACACAATTAGAAATAGAATTTCCCAGTAGCCTTTTGTCCCTGTGTATAAATCTCTAAAGTGTATCTCCTTTCATCCTGCTTTGTCCTTGAGCCGAGAAAACAGGAAGTTCTTCCACTTCAGACCAGCCTCTCTGCCTGTGTTTTGGCCCCTACCTGCCTTGTTTCACCTCACCCCTTGCTCATTAGTTGTGTCTTTTTTAAATCTTTACAATCTTTTCAGCAGCTGAGTTCTCTCTTTCCCAATGTTGAATCTTTGAAAACTGATCTGCTCACAAACGTGAGCCTTTTTACCACTGTTTACTTTAAACATTCTCAATAAATTTCTTAAGAGTTTTTGTGTCATTTCTCTGCTTCCTCTCATTGACCTCATTTCACTCTTCCAATTGCTTTTCAACGGCACTAGAGGAGACAATCAAGGACTTTTTAATCAGAGTGTCACTGGCATTTATTCTATGACCAATTTATCTATCTTATCTATAGAGTTTTCTATCATCATGTCACTCCTTAAAAATCCTCTCTTCACATGATGTTCCTATTGCTGTTCTGTTTGTGTTCTTTTCCTATGTTCTTAACCTTTATTTTCATCCCATTTGCCCTTACTCCTTTAAAGAAATAATTTACATCCATAATGAGGATGCAGAGCTTTCATTTTATTGGAAAATCTCGGTGTTTGGGCACAGGTGTGACATTGCATACAGAGACAAAGCAAAGGCATCATATTTTCTGGAGTTACTGAGGGTTGTGAGCCCTCCAATTTAAATGCTAGGAACTGAACTCTAGTCTTCCAAAAGTGTAACAAATGCTCCTAACCACTGAACTGTCTTTCCAGCCCCCTTTCATCTTAACTGTTCCTTCCTTCTTCCCTGATATTGAATGATTTCCATATTCCTCAACTACTACCCCAGTATTTTTCCTTTCCTTCCAGAAAAAGGACTTCATCCCCAATGAATGGTTAAGATTTATGCATGCATCTTCTCCAGGCACTCCAGTAACCAACACCTGGCTTCCCTGTAGCCACTAGGTTTTAAACCCATGAATGGCACAAAATTTAAAATGAAGAGTCTTAAAACCTTTCATCCCTTGCACTCAACCACTATGAAGTTCTGACCTCTTCACCACCTGGATATTTTCTCAACATTTTGCATTTTGCATTTCCTCAAGGCTGAGTTTATAATATCAATTGCTATAGCAATGATTCAGATTGCAGAGAGTAAAGGGGAAGGAGAAAGAGTTAGAAGCTAGTGTATGGTATGCTGTGTAATATATAGCAGGAGTTAAATCCAGATATGTGCTGCAGAGTTGGCTGAATATGGTTAACTATAATGTTATATTCTAAATAGCCAGAAGTGAACATTTGAGAGTATTCTTCATGAGTAAGTAATCAGAATTTAGGTGATGGATATACAAAACACTTTGCTTTGATTATTACATCAAACATACATCATGCATACACATAAAATGTATCAGTCAACACATTATGCGGTACCTATAGATCTATATCGTCAGAACACCATTTAGATGGCTTCCTCCTGTAACTCCTTTGCTTCTGTTTCCTGTCATTTCACTGCATTCTAAAATTCGCCATCTGTTACCTTTTAAAAATGCAATTTAATGGCATTTTCTCCTCAGCTTGAAGTCTCATGCTTATGCCTTCCTGCTGTCTCAGTGTGAGAAGAGCACCTTCGCTCCATGTATCAGTTTCCCGTGGCTGCCATAACAAATTACACAAGACTGAAGTCTTAAAATATACTCACATTCTTCTTCCGGGGAGCAGAAGTTCAGATCTAGGCTCAGTGGGCTGAAGCCCACAAAGCTGATTTCTGAAAGAAAGACTAAGAGCTTTCTAGGATCCTGGTTCTCCCTGGTTTGGTACTGAAGCTCCTTGGACTTCTGAGCCTTAAAGCTTGTGGCTATCCATCTACCCAAACTTGTCCACCATTCTGGATCTCTCTTCTACTCAGCAAAAACTAGCTAGAGTTACTCCATTCTCACCAGGCCTTCCTGACTCCAGGCATAGATCTTTATAGTGTGTTTCCTGAATTTATCATGCTTTTGTAGATTATTTGCAACATTCTTCACATTCCCCTGTGTTGTCATTTCCATGTAGGATTGTCTTCCATAAAAATGGCCTTGGCAGCACTAATTATATTTGTATTTTGAATTTCACATGTATTTGTTTAAAATATTCAAAGTGCATAAAACAGTATAAAACAGAAAACAAATCTTTCCCCTTAATTTTATTTCCTAGTATTCTACTCCCCAGTGGCAAGAAGACAGCCATTACTACCAGCTTACTGTCTAGACATCTGGAGTTTCTATTCTTCACCATTTACCATAAAAGAGATAAATTAGGATCCAGTCTTATACATAAGTGTGTGATGCCTGTATCCAAACACACATATGTATACATATACATGAATTTTTGTATACATATACATGAATTTTTGTATACATATAAAATACATATGTATATGTATATATTTATATATACATATACATATATACATTTATAAATATATACATATACATATGTATATGTATACATAAAATTTATGTATACATAAATATACATATAAAGTCACTTAGCTCTTTTCTCTCTGTATATCTAAATACATATCTACATATAGATACATATATATGTGTGTATATATAAATTCACACACATACACATGTAAATAATATATAGAGAAAATGCATATGTAATTTCAAAATCATTTTATTTATATAGAAAAGCAAATTGTCTGTCTGTTTGCTCCAAGATTGATTAGTGACAAGTATAATAGATTTGTTTGTTGTTGTTTTTTTTTATAGTGAAAACTTCCATATTTCTTTTCCTACAACAAATATGTGCCTTTTCTATAGTAAATCTTAAAAGATTAAAATGTGTTTTCTGAAAAATTTATGTTATCTTGAGTGGAAACTGATAAAATTAACTTACAAAAGCAAAACACACAAAGTTTCTACACATAGCTCAGCTTTGGCATGGTTGTAA